ATAATCTATAACAGGGCAATAAGCGGCCCGGGGCCGAATCCGGCCGGTGGAGAGGAAATAAACGGACCGCCGAAATCGTTTCACGTTAACGCCGGTTTTTTGTTGTTTTCATTATTCGCCTCTGCGTAGATCCAGAACGTCCGACCGTCCGAACGTAATCTCTGATTATGATATTGTATTTGGTGTATTTGTGTGTTATTATAAAATTGTATATATTACATTACATTCTGTAAAATAATTAAACAATATTGTGTATTTATTGCAAAAAAAAAAACGCGCTCATTAACTCATAAATTTATGTTGTTTTCTGTTTTCTGGAGGCGTTGAAAAAAACGGAACACCAAATAGGTAGGTAGAGGTTGAATTTTTTTTTTTTTTTACTCAACTCCAAAAATATATGGCTCTTAAAATTTTTTTTTCAAATTATCCGGCGCCTCTTTAGAAACCAATTGCCGACCCCTGATCTATAATATTATAGTTTTAAACCAATCACGGGTTTTTTTTTAATAATGATTATTGCTGATAAATTGGCGCCTCATATACACGGCGTCCGCGCCCCCCCCCCACAGCTACGGGCAATTTGTCCGTAGGAGGCTCAGGGGACTCACCGGACAATTCGTATCGTGACGCTGGTCCCCCGACCGCCGGTCATTCGCGAACTTTTGCGAAAAAATGTAATACGAAACTTTCGGCGAGCGGGTTCAACTCGCACTCGATCGTTTACCGTTCACTTCACGTCCCAACCTTATACACTCCAAGACTATAGTTACTATAGTATAGTATATTAGTAGACCCACGTGCTACACGACGTACGTGAAATTACACGGTTTCATAACAAACTAACAACAATCGTCGTCTCGGTCGTACGATCATTAATTTTATTAAGTTTTATATTATTGTATAGCGCCTACACTTTTGTCAATACGCTATATTTGACGTCATTATTAACGCCCAGTCGACTTCGTAAAGACGTGCATATTATATTAATTACCGGATAAGACGTTTCAATTTCAATCGCCCCTTCCCCTCCCCATCTATTAATATGTTATTATATATTGTACATATGTTTATAATTCGGAATACGCCGAATACGTGTCTCCCCCCCCCACAAAAAAAAAAATAACATAATTAATAACACGAACGATACGAAGCCGGACGTTTTGTATAAGGTGTGTACGTGGACGACACGAGACGACGCGCCTTTTTTCGACAAAAATATTTACCGTTCGAAGATCGAGTGTAAAAATTATGTTCGACAAAATGTGTTTAAACGTGATTTCACGTTAATTAAACATCAATAATTGATAATAAATAAATCAAATTTATATTATTAAAACTGGTCGATTTTCATTTCTTAATCCGATTTTTTCAAAATATTCAATACTATATATTTTAGAGTTGTTTCGCCCGGAACAAAAAAAAAAACAATTGAAAAATGACCATCCGAGTTACCGAGGTAATCTTTTAATCGACAAAAATAATTCGATTTTCGCACCGAAAATAACGATGAACCTATAGTCATATATACACAAAAGTACGCTTTTATTATGTTATTTTTGTTTTAGAATTACATGCATGCAAAGTTTTTATTCAATCCGTTCAATAGTTGTGGTATTAAGGTTATTTAGTTACTCTCCGTCTTCAGTTTTGCATGATCAGTTTTATTCAAACACGGAAAACTCTTCTGTCCATCATCGTCATACTACCCTTTATTTTACGATAACTATATCAGATATTGATTCTTATTAAATAATGTATTCGTGATAAAAGTTTCTGATAATCCACAAAAATAGAGGGAAATGGATCCATCAATATATTATAAAAATATCTAAGTAGTTTATTATGATGTACTTTAGCGATCTATCGCTATCTATCGTTACAATATAATATTGTATATAAAGGTGGCCGTTGACTAGTAAATAAGTTCATTTTTTTAAACTGTTTAACTTAACTAAAGTCGATTATTTGTATTGTTAATTTATCAGCTTAACTAGTTTACTTTATCATCGGATAAAATTTACTATTTACAATTAATTTTTATAAACACGTAAAACCCACACAAAAGCAGAATGTTTAGTGCTGGAAGATAGTTGATGAAAATAAGAGGAGGGAAAATTTTGAAATTACCTATACATATTATTATGAAAATGTAAAAGATATTTTAATTTTACCTAGCATGTTAGGTCCTTAATATATTGAAACTTTACAATGTTGATATTGAGTAGCAAAAAATAAATTCCTTATTTTGCGAAAACTTTTTTTTATGACGTAACCGATAGATTATAATTTATTATCTGATCTTCAGAATAAAATCTACCGCAAAGTCTTGACTAAATTAATATAATGATAACGTGTAGTTTATTTTTTTTTTTTTTTTTTGTTAACATTACACGTTTTTAATCAATTCGTGCAAAATAGGCGAGACGAAGGAAGAGAGGAAAAATGTGACAATTTTTTCCCCTCAATATTCCGGAAGGAGAGCTGGAGGAAGGGCGCCAGAAAACCGTTTTTTTCCCCGAATTCAAGACAAGGACCGCCCGAACGTGTACAATGTTCGCAACGCATATGTACGCGTAACGAGTATATTATAATATTATGGTTTCCGTCGCCGGGTATTTAAACGCATTCGATAATACGCGGCCGAAGGAACGAAACCCTTTTATATTTTCGGTTCTTTCATTCTTTACGGGTTTTTTTCCCCGTTTTTTTTTTTTTTTTCCTGCGGTCCGCCGCAGTAGTCTCGGTAGCACAAAAGAAGCGCGCGCGTTCGATTCGGGATTATTCCGCTATATTTGCTAACGAGGGCAATGTCAAACGGCATTGTTCGGGAGACCCGCAACCGTATATTGTGTCATGTACAAACGATATATTTGGCGAGTATAATAATATAATATCGATATATTATACGTACCCGCGAGCCAAATTGTCTCCAGTCATTGTTGTCCGGCGTGGGAGGAGGAGGAGGGTCGGACGATATTATTATACACACACACACACACACAAACGGCGGCGGTTGTACGACAAACAGTATTATATCTAGGCGTATATACATATATAGTATATAACCATGTATATAATGTTGTATATATATCGTGGTAATAATACACACTGGGTGTACACCGCCGCCGGATTTCTGCGGTGACGAGGCGACATTTCGTTATTATTTACGAATAATTTTTTTTTTTTTTTTTTTTGTTCATATTATTATATTCGGATATTATAAACGTATACAATACGCCGCGGTTGAATATTATATTGTCGTATGTAGGTACCTACAACGTATATTTCATCGTTCGGCAGAGAGACAGCTAGCGAGAGGGAGAGGGCCGCCCGCCCCCGGTCGCGCGTTATCCCCGATGATGACGACGACGACGAGACTATTATTGTAATGTAGGTGGATGTGCCGATGAACGGTGACTGAGTATAAAAATTGATTCAGCTGGCAAAGAAAAAAGAAAAATGAGAAAAAAAAGATTATCGCGTATAGATATATGTATGTGACGCGTATATTATTATATACTCGTATGATATTTATGTGCGCGTCGGGTTTTCGTCATCGCCGTCGTCATCGTCATCGCGTATTCCGCGAGTTTTTTTTTTTTTTTTTAATTTCGGAGCGTACAGCGATAGGATCTATATATATATTTTTTTAATACGATGTGTGTTTTTTGTTTTGTTTTTTTTTTTTATCTCGCTCCGGCGTATCAAGCCTAGACAAGTTTTTGAAAGGAAATTTCATCTTGTTGTGCGTTTCGGAGGTGGTTTTTTTGATATTCCGGGGGCTTTTCAAAAATAATCGGGAACAACCGGAAACACAACGATTGTACATTCAATTATAGTATTTACTTGATACGGACTCAATTTGGCGGTCCTCTTGATTTAGGTGGCTAAGGTCCCGTAGTGGCTAGCCACTGTCTCTATTTTCGTATACAAACTATTACACTTTTAAAACTTCTCACAGTTACCCGTACTGCGCAAAGTACTATGTACGACTTTAGTTTTTTAATTAAAATGGCGTAATATTCATATTTTCATGGTTTATTTACGGGAGGGAGTCCAGTATCACTGGACCCCCCCCCCGGAGCAAAACAAACAAATCAAATCAGGTAATGTTGTTTATCAGTATATAGTCTGGTAATATGCATAGAAATTATACGTAATAACATAGCCGTGTTGTTATGACGACGGTTTCCAAAACTGTGGCTAAATATAAAGTGCGATAAAGGACAAGGTACCTTAATGATAAAGACTTTATCGCACGAAATTATGATTGTTGATGGTTGAGTTTGTGTAGCAATAACTGCTGTATAATTAAGGATAAAATACTAATGGCTTTATTAATCATGTAAAATACAATGACATGTAAAACCTACCCTATCAGATAATATAAATATTTTTTGTTAATTTAAAAATTTCGTCATCATTCTAATTATATAGGAAAGAATGAAATAAATTCGAATACGGGGTGTACTACTTGAATTATACTAATATGTCGATTACTGAAATTAATACAAAACATATTTTACAGTAGTCACGCTGCTTTTCACACTGTATTGTTACATCAAACACACAGATATTTGTCTGATGAATATGTTGAGTGAAATTGAAAGTGGATGTTTTATTAATAACACAAATTTCTAGTTTATGTTTACAATAAAATCATCAACTGACATAGAAACCACTATTATTATTGAAAACAATTTTACCGAAACTTTTTAAAAGATTTAACAAACAATAGAATTATAGCTTGTAGAACTTACAGGACGACGGTATAGTGATGAAGTAAAGAAAATGTTCCTCAAACAATTTATTTTTACTCTTCTAAAGCTTAGTTACATCAAATTTACATACTACCTATCTGGTAAAACTAAATTGATTGGTAAAATCATAAGTACAAAATGCTATGTTATAATTTGATTTAGAGGTCTTCAATTTGCCTGTTAAACTCTAGTCCCTAGTTTCATTAGAAATGGTATTTCCAATACTGGTTTTTTTTAAAAATGTTTTTCAGAAAATTGCGATTATCCCAGATGCACAGTGGTCAAAATGGTTAGTTATTAGATAATGCTTATAAATACAAGTATACATTTTATAATATAAGAGTACATAATAATATATACTTATTGATCTAATATATTAAACATATGTCATAGTTTCAAGTTTCGAGTCTCTACGTGTATTTATATAACCGAATTACAGCAAAAAACTACCAAAAATTAAAATTTCTTGAAAGCTCAAAAGTGGTTCAAAAGTTTTTAAAATAATACCGTAAGAAATTAAATCAATAAGGCAACAAAAAAAGTATCTCGTGATTTCTCGATTAAATCATTATTTCTGGTAGAAAACGTCGTCCGTGTTTTTATAAAACAATGAAATCGCGAAGACGTAGGTATCCTACGTTTTTCACCACTTAAGTGCTTTTATTTGAAAAATGGTTTCGAAAATCAAAAGATGGCCCATTATGTACAATCAAGACAACTTGAGCTTTCAGAAAAGGTGCTACACTTATACGTCGGAGAAAGTTTACTATGAAAAAAAGTGTCCACAGACTAGAAAAAAAAAATTAAATATACAGCAATGTAAAACCAATAGTTGCATCGCTACGCTCGGAATTTAAAACTAAGGTCCACATTAGCGTTCGACATCAACCTTCTCATTGGTTTATTGGCTAAAAAAGTTAATAGTAGCATGAGGAACATAAAATAGAGCCGTAGATCTAGTGAGACGCTGACGTACCTCAATATAGATTATCTATATATTATAATACATCGGTAATCAAAACGCAATCCATATGCTATTATAATCTATTATCAACTAGACCAATTAGATCCAGAAAAATTCCACAGAGATATTCTACAAGTAATTACGATTAATTTTGTATACTTCAAATATGAATATATAATACTCGTATTTGCATGTTCAATCTGTCGTCGCGCCCAGAGGTTGTCTTAGTAACGTGAAAAACTATTACTAATAAGCGATAGTAAAAATATTAAATCGTGTGTTTCAATTGTTTTAGCTGTTTCGTCTAAATCTGGTCCATTTAAATTTGTGAAATCACCATCCGAGAAAAATATTGAGAAAGACGTTCAATGCTCTCGGTGCCACGAGTATGGTCATTTGTTTGGTTTAGCCCGTGCAAAGTTTGTTGATGGATATAGAATATGGTCATCGAAAACAGATGTCGTTGAAGAAACAGGTAATTATGACAGTCCCTTAGTCATTGATAAGACATCCAGACCAATTAGATCTGGAACACCGCCACAGAGATATTCACCAAGTGATTACGATTAATTTCGTATGCTTCAAATATGAATATGTAATACTCGTATATGTATGTTTAGCCTGTCATAACACCCAGAGCTCGTCTTACCAACGTGATTCGCGATCACCAATGAGCGATACTATAATGACGAAATCGTGCGTTTCAGATGTTTCGGCTAATTCATCTAAATCTGGTATATTCAATTTTATTAAATCGCCATCCGGGGACAATGTTAAGAACAACGTTCAATGCGTTTGGTGCCACGGAAAAAATCATAAGTTTGGTGAAAACTGTGAAAAGTTTATGAAAGCCTACAAAAAATATTCAATTGGAAATGATTTAGGAATACATTTTAAGTATTTTTAATCAATAATCTTAATATCTTCCATTTAATACATTTCCGTTCGGACCCCCGAGATATACTTAACGTTGTCGTAATTTCAAATACCGTTAAACAATACTATTGTTTAAAGAAATAGAAACAAAATAAAAGAAACAAATCAATGAAAACGCTTGGGCTTATAAACCGTAACATTATCGGTTTCTCTAATATTTACGCATTAAACACTTCTCTATACGGCTTGAATTCGTTCGGTGCTCGAACAGGCTTCTATTATTTAGTCACCCCATCAATTATACTATTATGATCGGTTAATTAGTGTACAAAACAAATTTTTTAAAATGTAAACATTTTGTTGCGGAATTAACTACCATATAATTTTAAATCTCTCACCGAAAGACGAGATGCGACCTTTATTTATAAATTATTAAATAATGAAATTGATTCGCCGGATTTACTTTCCAAATTATCAATAATGGTTTCTTCTTTTTGTTCTAGAAATCCTCAATCTTTTAAAACGAAATTTCATGTTACTAAAGTACTAACTATGGTTACGCAGCCCCTCTTGATCGCGCTTGTCGTATTATTAATTAATATTAATTTATCTAATATAATATTGTTTTCCATTCGTTGCCATCTATTATTCTTAAATCGCGTTAATTTTGTCATCCTTACCTATTCTTGTTTGATTTGTTTCTTATAGATTCTGAGTGTAGCGAAGAATGTATTGGTTTTATTGAGATGTTTATTTTAATTTTTTTTTTTTATACTGTGTACGGAAATTCGACCAGAAATCTTGTTCAAATATATACTTGCGGCACAATTTTTGAAAGGTCTTGTAGTCCACATGGTACTTTTAGGAGGTTAATTTTCGATTTTCTTAGCAGTTTTCATAATATCTGGGAAAAACCGGGATAAAACGTAAGAAAAACGATAAGTGTACGAAAATAATACTTTCATTATTTTTCAATTTTGTTATTTCTTGTAATTCAGTTAAAAATTTTCTTAAAGACTTGAAATTTGAACAGAAAACTTATATTTGTTTTTTCTAGATGTGGTAAGTTCGGTAATTCATAATTTAAAGTTTCAAATTTTTTTTTCGATTTCAAAACGCGTATTAAAAAAAAAAAAGTCGTCCGATGATTTTGAAAATTTTATGACTTCTAGATAAGTCTAATATTCCAGTATTATTATCAAGTTTCAAGTCTTTACGTGTATTTAAAGCAAAAAAAAACTAATAAAAATAAAAATTCTCTAAAAGCTCAAAAGTTTTGGCGACGATACCGTAAGAAATTAAATCGAAAAGGCAACGAAAAAGGTATCGTGTGATTTTTCGATAAAATCATTTTTTTCTGGTAGAAAACGTCGTCCGGTTTAATAATGAAATCGTGAAATCGTGCGGTCTCCCATGTTTTTCCCCGCTTGAGTGCTTTCATTTAGAAAATTGCGTCGAATACCAAACAGTGACCTTTCGCAGTACGATCGGGACAACTTGAGCTTTCGGATAAGATGCTACACTCATACATCGGAACAAGTTTACTATGAACAAAAGTGTCCACAGACTAGAGGAAAAAAAAAATAAACAGCAATGTAAAAGCAATAGCTATCCCGCTACGCTCGGGATCTAAAACGGTGTGAGCACTCTTGGTGAACCGTCGCGCTCTCTGTACGTGCGCACACTTACTTTCGCACGGGATCGCGGTCGTGTCGGCGGCGTTGGACGTTACCGAGAAAATGGAATTGAAAACTACGATATTGTCCGCGGTCGAAAATAACACCGAACAGTGTCTAGGCAATGCGCGCGGAGAGCCGACCGACGGTCGGGCCGACCGGGCGGATAGCCGCGGCGGCGGCGGGGAGGGGGGGAAATAACGCGCGACGGCAATACGGGATTTCGATCACGCCCCCGTGTCACTTTGGAGCGAAAGACCGACACGAGAGAGCCGCGAATTAACCGGCACGCCGTCGACTTGACCGCGGTGTAGGTGTGTAAAATTATGTACGCCGGCGACTCGGAACAAGGTTCCGAAATTAGCCCGTCCGGTCACTCGTCGCGGCGACGCGTAGCTGCTTTTTTTTTTTTTTTTTACCCTGAGCCTAATGGCATTGTGCCGCGGCGGCGACGCGGCGCGCCGCGCTATTAATCCCGGTGACGGACGTCGTTTTTTTTACGTTCGGCCGCCCCCGCGCGTTTCGGCCGATATTATTAATCGAGCGCCCCGATCGGTTCCGATTTTCGTTCCCGTCAAAAGTCGCCGGCGTTTCGAACGCGGTCGCGAAACGAATACCGCCGCGAACACTACCGACGACCCGTACGGTACCGCGATAATACGGTGTTTTCTGTACATTGGATATTTTCGGTATGGACGGGCCCGGGGCCGATTTTTATCGACAAAAAAAACCGATACCCGACATGATATGAAATCGAAATCCACCATCGATATATCGGTAACCGGTTCGCCAATACTTTTTGCGATATGATCCAGACATAATAATAATAATAATAAAACGTTTTTCGTTTAAATATTTATTTTTTGTACGCATTCGGTAACTTTTCGAATTACTGCGACGATATTATTTAGCCGTAGAGCGTAACGTGTTCGAAAAACGAAATACCGTCGTCTTCAGCGACGCTCAATCAAAACGAATACAACAACAGTGTAAATAGGCTTATCGTTACAATACTCAACATTTCAATAATAACTTACACTTTATCGCCGAATCTTGTTCCGAAACTCAGCCATCCGTTGTTTCCGATTCGTATATTTTCTGATCAGTTCTCATTTGCCGATATCGCAATATTGATAGCGCAGAAAAAAATTTGCGCGCGCGGGGGCAGGGTGGACCTGCGGGCCCCTCTGCGGGCCGATTTTTTTTCCAAATAGACTAATATTACGACAATTTATTTCGGCAGTCATTACTCGGGTAATCGTGTTCGTGACCGATACGAATATGATGACAGTTCACCACACGAATCTGTGATATGAACAAAAACGATCCGGTTCATCATCGTTAATTATGATTTTTTTTACTAATAACGACGTATTATTTTACGATTAGTTTATGACAAGTACAAATCAAAGTGCGATATTCGTATTATTATCGGTACCCGTTGTAAATTCACCGCACTACAAATATATGTAATAATATTAGATTAACCTATTCGGTTCCTCCTTCTCCTGGAAAATATTCCCGCGGTCACTGGCGACAAAACAAAATGTTCGCCCCCCGCCAGCCATTAAGGTCTGCGCGCGCCTGTGTACGTATCCTTCCTACGTATACTACCCATCGCCAGTATCGGCTCTTTTTTTATTATTATAGATAAGCTATAGAATACCTACCGAGCTTATTATTTTCTTTTTTTCAATTCCGTTGAAACACATTTATACCTTTGTATGTTTGTATACATGTAGAGAACAAGTCTCTATTATTATTGCGTGCGGTCGCATGAAAACAAAAAAAAATCGATTTAACTATAGTAATATTGTATATATATATATCAATAATTTAGGTCTATAACGAAGCCCTTCAGGAATTAAATTTAAAAAAAAAAAAAAAAAAATGTTTATAAATCACATGTGCGTACGACTCTATATGTGTGTATAAAATACTATACGCATACAATAATACTCGTATACGGCGTACGCGGCGAAAAATTCCTGCACGCGCAGACATTCGCCTGGTCGCCTCGGTCTCACTCGGTCTCTCTCCGGCGCGGTATACAAATACGCGGCGGCTCGTTCGCTCTTTCTCGTCCACTACAATAATATAACGTCCAAGGATAAAAATGTCGATTACAAAAGATCGTAAATCAAACGATCGACGGACGATCGACGTGGACGGACGGAGACTGGTCCTGGTTTATTAATGGACCCCCCCTCCCCTTCCCCTCCCGTTGGCCGTGCCCCTGCCCCGCGCCGCGTCACCGGCCGAACGACCTCTTTATTCTCCTACCGTGCGCGCGCGGCTGTATACCTACTGTGCCGCGTACGCGTAACCGCTCGACAATTTTTTTTTTCACCGTCGGCCGAAGGGGTTGGGAGGGAGAGAGACACAATGACCACTTTTATCTTTTTTATTTTTTTTATATATATATATATATATATATATATATATATATTTATACATATAATAACCAATAGAGGTTGGTTGTTTTTTTTTTTACAATGCGAGGAATTCATATATGCACCGCAGTGTAGGTACCTCTGGCAGCCGTAATAATATACCTATATATATATATATATATATATATAAAGTTAATAAGGATTTTCGATTCGAGTATAAAACGTTCGTTAAACGTACTACGTATGTATACGCGCAGAGGTACGTCCTGCGTCGCAGACCTCTCTCCTGCCGCACATCGCGAACGCGCTTCGTCGCGGGGTCCTTTAGTGGTTTTTGTTTTTCTCCGATGACCAATAAAAACGCACACGGGCAAAATGAAATCGCCGGCTTTTAAAATTTAACATATCGGGCGCAAAAAAAAAAAAAATAATAATAAAAATAAAAACATGTGTTGTAAACTAATTAATGCCAATTTCAAATTATATATATATATATATATATATATATATATTATATAAGTATACATAATTACTTGTATAAAATAATATCAGAACGCCGTAACTGAAAAAAAAAAAAAAATTATATAAAAAAAATAAGCGACTCTATATTATATAAATCTAGATTTATTGCTGCACGGTCGGATTTTCAGAATGATTGAACGGCAGTCGCAATTTTTTCGTCTGTAAATTAAATTGAATTTGATAATGTTTTTATAACGATATTTTTTATGTACAACGTCGTATAATATAGTCGACACGTGATATCCGTATATAATAATATGCAAAACTATAAAAAGTTGTCGTATTTAAAAAAAAAAAATAATAATAATAATAATAATTCTTCTATTATTGAAATATAGTTCGAAATATTAAATCCTACGCACTTTTGACGTGGAAAAATTATAGGTGTACGGGGGTCGGACGAGTGAAAAAATCCGCCGTGACTACTTTTCAGAAAGAAA